CAGGCATGTACTATACATATATATGCCTTAACGCGTCGGAGATGCTTATATGATGGAAAAGTTAGCTAAGTTATAATATATGCTGAAAAGCCACAATATTCTCGGTGAATGAAATGGGCAGAATAGAATCTGTATTGAAACAATTCTTGTTGTTTGCTCTTCGTGGCTTGAACTGAGATTCTCGTGTGCGGCTCCCGTCATACTCCAGTAGACTTCTTCTGATTAATCTTCCTTCATTAATCGTAGAGCTTTGCATGGTGTAATATAAGTTAATTAGGGGTGAAATCGACTCTTCTGACTTCTGAACTCTTCTTCTCTGTTCCTACTAGACTAACACGTAATTATATGCCTTTATCGGCTTCAATTGCGTTCAACTAACTATGAAACGTTCCGGGTCCTCTGTGCTGATAACAGGCATTACAGAGTATGCTGATCGGAGTCTTCTCTTCCACGAATCATTTAATATATCTTAAGCTATTAAGCAAGTAGTTAGATCTAAGCCTATAGTCTTAGTTTGTAATCGCTTTTTCACTACGCGAGTCCCCACTTTGCATCATACATAGATTCAATACTTTCTTAAGTGTAGCTTAATGAAATATGATAAAATGTGTAACATGCATAATAAATAAATAAATATATATATAGTATACACATATATAGATATATATATATTACTGATCATATAATATGCCAATCCAAGCGAACACAGCAAGTACTTGGCTTAGCTGAACTACTTAACCTTAAACACGAGAGAACACAGCTTACTGTCGGACAGTACGAATGATTAATATATATATAAATATATATACATACATGTATATATATGTGTATATACATATAACATATGTGCATGCACATTGGAACTGTGGCGCATCAACGGGGCGTATGCATAATGCGATTAGGTAATTTGCAACGTTTTTGGCTAGTCTGTTATCGCATCTGTTTTTTGTTTGTTTTCTTATTATTTGAGTTCTATAATTACGTTGAGCAGCCAAACAGCTAGCTACATAGATTAAGACAGCCAAATAGAATACATGTGTACAACACCTATTAAAAGCCCGTATCAACAGCGTCTATCGTATGAGGAATCACAGCAATCATCGCTGCGTCGGGCTAAATTGTCGCATACGTATTGCGCATCAGGCTGTTAACTTCCACTTTAAGCCGACAACTATAATTAGGGATAGTTACAGCGGCTGACAGGCCGTTCAGCATGCAACAAATGAGCCACAGATACAAAAAAAAAAAAAAAAACAGATAAAAAAAAAACTAACTACATGTCAAAGGCAATTGGAAATGTGTTGAGCAACCAGCGCAAAACAAATACAAAAAAAAAAAAAAAACAAACCCAATCGAATACAAAAGAAAAAGCGAAAAAATAAAAAACGAAAACCACATTCGGAGTAATAAGTATATTTGACAAATGTAAAGTGCTTGGAATCAATGCTCAGATTTTTCTATCAACTAATCGCAGTGTTGGTAAATAATATTATAAGTGCTAATTTGTGTTGCAGCTTGTTAAGTTAACAGCTAGTTTGACATGATGTTTTCTTTATAGCTAACCAATCATTAGTGTTGGTGAATGATCTAATAACTGTTAATTTTTCGTCCAGCTTGCAAAATAAGTAGCCACATTGTCATGATGTTTTCCTTTAAGACAGCTAATCGTCTAGTGTTGGTAAATGATATTATAGGCGCTAATTTGCAAGTTAACAAACACTTTGACACGACATTTTCTATTTAACCAGCTTATCGTGTAGTGCTTAACACTAGTGTTGGTAAATGGTTGGAAAATCGTATTTTTAACAGTTACTTTGTGTTGCTGTTAAACTTCAACTTGTTGCTAAATGTTAAATATTTGAGCAATATTTCTTACATAGGATTTCCTGTTAGCAGGCATATTGACTGTTCTACTTTAGAAATTGATTTGAAAATGTTATCAGTGTTTGTCTGAAATGCTATTCTACCACTGTTAACTGACGCTGTAAAATATTTAACACGTTTTTCTTAACATTGTTGCTCTGTAGCTGACTGTTAATTGGCAGCTTAACAGTTTAACGATATGTTAAAAGTGCGATAAACTGAACTTAACTCAAAAGCGGCAATCGTGGATAACAGATGATAATGAGAAGAAAGTCAATTTAGTTGTTTGTTAAATATACGTAAATTAGACTAAGTTCACTTTATTGCTGTCGAGGTTGACTTGAGTGTGAGCTAACTTTTGCAGGCACTGTAAGTGCAATGCGCTTTTCTATCGTATTTATTGAAATTCATTTACTGCCCACACTTGAGCGCCGTGGCACACTTAAAAATAAATGAACTCAATTTGCAAACAGAAAGAAAAAACAACAAAAGCTAGACAAAAGTCAACAAAAATAGCTAGTAAAATAAATAAAATAACAAAAAAACAGCAATAAAATAAAATTAAAATAAATAAATGAGTTAAGCAAAATTTCAGCCTAATATTAACTGTGTGTGAGTGTGTGTGTGTGTGTGTGTGTTTGTTTGACTTGACTGTTTATGCAGCCTCAAGTCTTATTTGCATTCACACACACACACACACACACACACACGCGCACACACTTCCATCATGGAAGATAGGCAGCAAAAAAAAAAAAGAATAAATAATTAAATAAATAACAGACCTTTCTCAACCAAAAAGAAAGTAAGTCAGCCGCCAAATGTTGTGCTAATTTCCGTTTAGTTTTTTTGTACCTTTTGGCGACAGTTCGTATTGGATTTTTGACTGGTTGGGAATGAAAGTTGCCCGCATTATGTAAACATCGCGTTTGGTCGTAACTTCAAACTTGATTTTAGTTTTTTTTTTTTTTCAGTTTTTTCATTTTATATTTAAGTTTTATTTTTAGCCTCAGACTTGACTATTGCCCAACTGTGGCTGCTTGGGTTTTAATACCCTGTAAAAAATTTGGAATTGGGCAGATACAGTAAATGCTTGCTTGAGCGAATGTCCAGGGTTTCAGAAGACAAACACACATTCAAATGTAAATAAAATACAACGAAAGAAGAAAAACAAAAACAAAGACTATTAAAATTTGTTTAGAATAGTATCTCGCATAAATGTTTGATTTCGGTATATTTCCAATTGGAATCTAGCTTTGATTAGTATATTCCTTATTCCACAACTTTCAGGACGATTCTTGGCATAATCTCTTTTGCTTTTCGATAAGTTTTCATTTGTTATCAAGTGCAGCTGCTCCAGAAAGGCAAGACATACAATATAGTATGATATACTCTACAAACCGGCGTCTATTTATAAACGTGTGTACTGCAGAGTACATGGTTGAGGTATTGTCTGTCTGATTGGCTCGCTTGTTGGAGTCTAATTAAACTTTTATGTTTGCACAATTAGAAACCACAATGATTCCTATGTATATATATGATTACTTCAAATGGTCGACGTCGTTATCATTCGAGATACTGCACAGCGCAGCGCACAGCACGAAATGCGGGGCTAAACAACGCGAAATGCGAGGGATAGGTCAGGCACATGCCATGCCATATATAGTATATATCATATACAAGTAGCTATATATATATATATATATATATGTATATATATATGTGTCGCACTGATACCGCATTTTGCCGCTTAGCCGGGATTTAGCGAAATTATTGTGAACCGCGCTCTCGACAGCTAAACACGTTCTGCATCAAGTTAACTCTTAGTTGGAGGCTATTAATATAAACAATATGAACGGGCTGCGAGGGGTTGCGAGGGGTGCCACAGAGCAGCACGCGTCACATACTATGGGAAAGACCCAGAGCAAAAAAAAAAGCACATACACATATAGATTCTATTTACATTGCGAATGCGTTGCAGCTGTTAAAACTTGAGGCCTAAAAAAGCCTGCCTTAGGTCTGCTTCATTTTTTTGGGTAAGCAAATGCTCGCATTATGTGTCACAATTTGATATCCACATTAGTCAATTGGCTATTAAGTTTAATACATTGGGATTAGGATAGTTCAACAAACTTTTGTATGGAGTAATTGGAGAGAACACAGAAAAATAACATACATTTAACATGTCATGCAGATGTAACTTAACATAATATGAATATCCTGTTAAGATATGGATTTTAATTGCCTTGTAGAGCGTATTTTAATAGAAGGAGACATCTCCAACCGCATATATATAGATATATATTCTTGATCAGCATTAGCAAGCAAGTTGATATAGCCAAGTCTGTATGCCCGTCTGTTCGTCTGTCTGTTTCTATCGGAACTAGCCTTTCAGTCTTAAAGTTGTCGTCTTGAAACGTTGCATGGATCCGTACATATGCTGACATAGGAAAGATCGAGAAAGAAGTAAGCTCTTGTATGGAAAAATATGCCGTTTTTCTCAAACTTAGCATTAACGAGCTTCACTATTCCCACACATATGCAAAGGGCAAATGATTACAAGGGTATTAAGTATTCAACTTGCGGAAGATGTCCTTATAGATTCATACTTTCTAGAGAACTTATTATTGATTTAATTTATAAATTGATGGTGGTTTTTGAAGGTCTATATTCATGTGTTTGAATGGAGAATAAACGAACACAGAAGTTTTAAAAAATTTGAATATTAATTGGGATTGTATTGCCAGCAACTGCAGCTCAATTCTTATTAGACAATTTAACATGATGTTAACTTGCCGATGTTAGTAGAGTCCAGCTTCTAAAGCATTTGCTCAGCTACCGCTTGACTTTGACTCATTGGCCGTGTCGCCTAGCTTGTCGTTGAGAGCAGCTATGCGCAAGACATATATACATAGTTATATTTACATTTTTTTGTTTTTGAATTTGCATTCTAAAATATTATGACTCTGCACGCTGTGTAACCGATTCTGGCATATCCCAAACCAGTTGAGCACATTTTTGTGCGTCAGCGTATAGAATTAAGACGTTCCATTCAATAAAACTATTGAGTCATAGTATACTCTAAACAAACCGATCTCTATCGATATGTTGTGTGTATTTTCGATTTGCAGGAGACTTACTTTTGCCTTTGGCCAGGCCGCTGGCCACCTGCAGAAATCCGTAGACGGCGATGATAACGCACGGCAGAGCTATGACCCCGAAGGACACGTAATCCATGTGCTCAAAGTAGTGCGTGATTTGCTCCATTTTTTGGCCGTTATTATTTAATTTAATTTGAATTATTTTTATTTTTATTTTTATGTTAATTTTTATTTTTATTTTTAGGCTGGCACTGCACAACACTTAGCACATAAAATAAAATAAAATAAAAGCTAGCGAAACTAATTAAAACAATTGTCTGTTTTTTTCACTTTCAATATTTTGAATTACTTATTTTTTTTTTTTTAATTTCACAAATTATTTTCGCTCTATTTTGTTGTTGTTGTGGGTGGCTGGACGCAGGCGCGCGCGCTGCTTTATTTTTGCAATATTTGAATTATTTAATTTGAATTTTCGTTCGCTGCTGCTGCTGACTTTTCCAATTGGATTTCCAATGCATGCTAGCCAATTGGATTATTTCTGCGCGCTTGGGCAAATTTCGTTATTCACGTTTCGTAAGAGTTTTGCTGCTGCTGCTGCTGCTGTTGTTGTTGTCGTTGTTGTTGTTGCTGTTACTCTGTTTTATATTTGTTTTCTTTTTGTTTTCAAGAGTTTTTCTCGTTCTGCTTTTGCGCTCATTCATTCACTTGTGTCGCGCTATTCTACTTGCTGTAATTGTTGTCTGTGGCATCGTGTGCTGCGTATCCTTTGGCTTGTTTACGTGCCAGTGTTGTCTGCTTATTGTTGTTGTTGCTGTTGTTGTTGTGTTTGCTATTGCTGTATTTGCCAGCGAGTGTTGTAACGCCATGTTTTGATTTGCATGGACCCGCTAAGTAACTGTAACAGCGTCCACCGCGTGCTTGCTCTGCACCAACTGTTTTCCAATTGGGTGCGTTGCCTTCCCAGTATTGCATTTGCCGCAGAACGAAAAATTACAGAACGAGCGCGCGAAATAAACAAATAAAAATAAACGAAAAAAAAAAAATGAAACGAACAGCACCAAATGAAATGTTGTATTTGATTTGCGACGGCAGGGCGTGTAATTTATAATTTATTTATATTGAAATGCACACACAAAATCGAATCGGAATTAAGAATCACGAAATTATGTTTGTCCGCGCCGACCGTTACACGTCCGTCTCGTTCGGCTTTGTTTTTGCTTCTGCTTCTTCTGCATCTTATGTTAAGCTAACATGTTTATTTTATTAACTTTCTTGCAGCCGAACAGACCTGATGTTAAGCTGCGCATGTTAAGAGAAATACGAAACTTAAATTTAACACAACCCATGCTACACAGCCCACACGGCATGCATGTAAGCGTAAGCACATGTTATGTTGTACTCAATATGGCACTGTTAGTCTCGAAATGAGCGCAACATCATGTTAAAGTTACGCTCTCGCCAATTCTCTTAAAAACAGAAAAGAAACGTGAGCGGAAATCCAGCGGCAAATGTGACAACAAAAAACGCGTTGCACCGTAGTCCCACAATTAAATACATTTACGTAAATGACGTATTACACATGCATGAGTTCTATACATAAACGTGTTTAACAGCGCCAGATAATACCCAAAAGAATGCTATTCTAATTAGAATATATGCCAGTTTTAATATCCGGTATACAATTTCCCAACCACATTTTAATATCGGACAGAGCAAAAATAGGTGCTCGTGATCTTTTGCACTATGTCCCAGTGTGCAGCAATAAGCGCGCTCTTTTCATTTTGCTTGACTCTTCAAATCTCTGCCTCTCTTTTACACTCTTCGCCCTCTTATTGTTGCTCTCTTAGCCAAATAGCACGCGGTTTTATGATCGTAACAACAGAATGACAAGTAGCACGTGAGTCAAGCTGCTTCAAAAATTGGCAAAACTTGTTGAACAACACCCAAAATTGATGGAATATACCTGAATCATCAACATTGGTCAGATCATAAACTAAATCTGATGTGATCTCAGTTTAAAGCAGATACATATGACTGTGATATGCCGGCATGAATGTGTGTGTGTGTGTGCGTGTGTGTGTGTGTGCACTTACGGAATGAGTTCAAGCATTTGGTTCTTAATATGAGAACAACTAAATGAACACTAGAATCGATGCATACAATTTCGCATAGGAACATAGATTAATGCATGTTAAATATTTATCCTCAGGATTAATTGACAATCCAGTCTCGGCTTTAACTAGTTGGATAAGCTGGCTATTAAACTTTTGATGCTGCACAAGAAAAATTTATTCCTCAATTAGCTACAACCAAAATTCAAGAAACACACACACACACACACACACACACGTACAACCCACTTAAGGGACGCTCTTTGGAAAGAGCACAAGCTCTTGTGAGGGGCAAAGCAATGGGATCAACCAAGGGTTGCATGAAGTGTTATCGATCTGTGGAACAAAAGGGTGAATAGGTCCTTGATGGTGCCCAAGGGCAAATAAGGACACTCTGCTCGCTGCCAAAGTGAGAGGATCATATCGGTTCAGAAATTTCGAATAGGTAGTTGGGCATATCAGAGAGATTGGGTCTGGAAAACTGATATATTCTTTATTTTTAGAGCTAGAATGCAAATATTTGGTATGAAGTTTGCTTATACGGATTTCTTACGATCAAACCAAATATAAATCTGACGCTAGCTGCGAAAAGTCTCTTAATAAATATGGCTCATGGGCTTCAGAGCTGCTTTTATTAAGGAGTATTAGGCAGTCGGCTACACCCGGCTGCAATATTTTTAATTGTCTTCATTTTTTTTTGCCAGCCGATGGCAAATGGACACGTACGCCTTTGTTGAAGCATTGTGCCTGCCGTGGTTGTTGCCACAAGGGTGCATGCCGAGGGGGACACACACACACACACGCACGCACACACATACACAATTGGTTGCACAACCAGCTCAGCATTTCTGGTAGACGCATCGGGGCACGTTGGCCCTAGCAACCGAAACTTGGAAAACAGTTGCTCGCCCCCGTTTCCGGGCTTACGAAACTTTGCACCGACCACGTCAGCAAGTTGTTGTTCGTCCAAATACGATTCGGGCTTGGCAATCGGAATAAGGCACACACAGAGACACATACATATATACCTATCTACACGCATATCATTATCTATATTTAAGTAGGCGCCTTGACTTAGGCCACGTCAGCCTAAAAGACAGTTATAGAAATAATTGCTAGGTCCTTGGAATCAACTAAGGAGTGTGAAAGTATTTTCAGCTCTTGTATACAATTTTGACGCATTTGTGCTGGGATTAATGCAGAATGTATTATTTCAGAAAATATGTTTGCAAATATTCCGAATATTTAGAAAATTGATTGTTTTTATGCGTTTCCTCAGAGAGTTGTGAAATAAGTTCAAGAAATTTTTCGATTTCAAATAAAATTATATTATATTATACATACATATATTATACACTATGCACAAAAATATAATATAATATTATATCATATGTATTATACATAATATAACATACTACACTATACTATATGCATATTATATTCATTACAGTATCAAGAAACATTCTATATACATATTTAGGATTGCAAGCTCAAAAATATATTCTAGATGGTTTGGACTTAGAGTTTGACTCGTGAACCTGGTTTTCCACATTAATTTTCAGTGTTTTCATAAAATTTGATTCAATTTGAAATGTTTGAACTCTCACAGAAAATATAATGTTGGTATATATAAAATACTATAATTTAAAGAAAAATATTCAAGAAAATATTGGTATTCTTAAGATGCTTCAAAAAAAAAAAAAAAAAAAAAATAATAGCTGATTCTCAGACAAAATTGGAAGTTCCAGATATTGTAAACTAAAGTGAACAAGATCTCATTGTTGTAAGATCTTTCAAAAGAATTGGCAGTGAACCGGAATAGCCTTTCGACATGTACACATATCAATTTTCGACGTAAGCTTTATATTTGCGCTACATGTCACAATACATGTGCATATCTCTCCGTGTGTGCGTGTGTGTCGAAACTGGTATTCACTGTGGAACAGGTGTGTCTTCAATGAGCCTCGATCGTTGCCAAAACTGGGCATCTTATCGAGCAACAAACCGCAAGTTTCTCACACATGTCCTTGCACAATGCGCAATTTCGTGCATCGGGTTTCGTCATGCGACCAACAGATGGCGCAAGGCTAAGAAGCATGTGTCACCATGCTCGTAAATTTGTATGCACATGTGCGTGTGTGTGTGGGAGCGTGTGCATACGTGTGCGTACGTGTGTGTGTGTGTATAAATCTTCCTGCTGCTATCTGGTTGAGAGCTCAGGTTCAACGAAACATCGCTGCCAAAATGTTAATGACTCGGCGCGACGCGACGCCGAGACGCGCAATTGCAGCCCTCAACTCGTTCACTCTCTCGCCCTCGCTCTCTCTCTCTCTCTTTCTCCTTCGCCCACTCTTTCTGCAAGCTGCAGTCTCCAGTTGGCCCCCAAAAGCTGCTTTTCTTATTGTTGTTGTTGTTGTTATTGTTGTTAATTCAATAGTCACGCAGCTGGCTTGTCAAGTTTTGGTCGTTGAACCGCTTTGAAGGATGTCAGTGATACCTCATAGCCCCCTCTCCCCTCCTCACCACTGCCATCACACCACACCACACCACCCTTCGACAGTTTTATATACACCACACCCACGTTTCCTGTTTTCAACATTTTTATTTTAAATATTTATCGTTTTTATGGGTTTGATAAATTTACTCAAATTTATGCGCTATACGAAATTTATACAAAATGCAACAAGCTTCAAATTTAATAATATGTTACTTGTTTTTGTTGTTGTTGTTGTTGTTGTTGTTGTTGTTGCTGTTGCTGTTGCTGTTGCTGTTTTTTGCGGTCTTTGCAAATGCGCAATTTCTAACGCGTTTGGCATTATAAATAATTGTTCATTATAATTGCACATAAATTTGTTGTTATCCATTCTTTTATTGGTGCTCTCTTTGACATTTTGTTAAATACGTGTTATTTTGGTTTTTGGGGCGTGGCAAGATATTTAATTCAGTAGCACTTACCCAAGAATTGTTAGATGCATATAAAACAAATTGTTTACTCACCTGAAAGTAAAAGAAAAACGAAGAGGGACATTAAAAAGAGAGAGCATAAATAATAAAAATAGCAATAATAATAATAATAATACTTATAGAATCTT